CCACTTCCTGGGCATCCAGGGCCATTTGCATTTACTGTTCCAAATATGCACTCTGGGTCGGATTTCATGGAGCGAAATTGTACCTAAATGTCTTCTCTGTATTTATGGATTCTCCACAGGCTTTAGCCTAAAGCGAGGGAGTCCAAGTCAACAGCTTATGAAGAAGAAGAAGCTGAGGAGAAAAACGCTGTTAATTGAACACGCCTGCCCACACACGCTCTCAAGGCTGGAAAGTTGTGGCACCTAGAGCTTTCCTTCTTGCCACCACCACCATCAGTTCGCGCCTGACGCCTAATGTCTTTACTACCATATCAATCAAGCATAAGTACAGCTGCGGTGGTGTCTTCAACTTCAAACATCAAGCCATACGTCTTTAACCAGGCAACGTCCGCTGAGTACAATACAATGGACGAAGCAGAGGTGACCAGGGACTACAGTTGTGAAATTAAACATGAAGCTGAAAATGGGTGTCCAGTACCCGGTCTAATTACATGGCAGTACTTGCACATGTGTACGTCCGGCCGCAATTGCACCACTTCCTGGGCATCCAGGGCCATTTGCATTTACTGTTCCAAATATGCACTCTGGGTCGGATTTCATGGAGCGAAATTGTACCTAAATGTCTTCTCGAAACTGTCAACTTGCAGTGGAGGCTCATGCTTTCAACTGAGCACATGCCCACTGCCCTGCTCCACATGTGTTACCGTCACCCCTTGCTCCTCTTCATACTGTCACCGAGTGAACCTGTTCTTGGGAACTACGTATGTGTCGCCTGCCCACGTGATGTTCTTTGCACCATTTCACTGCCTACACACACTTAGTACTTTTCACCACACCCCCCCCCCCCACTGATTAATTCTGGAGGAAAAAACGTTTCTGTAAAAACGAATCGATGTCCGTTGGTTGTGCTTATGTTACTAGCAATTGGACACCCACCCATCCCAATTACTCCATCAAAGACCCCCAGCTGTACCCCAAACATCTAGGCAGACTTTGTAACATTGCGTTTAGCTGCGAGTCCGGGTTACAGTACGCAAGACAGACGTGCTTTCGGTTTGGAAACACGACTCACTGGCAAAACAAGGCATTGTTGGCATCTTTGCGGCATTCTCCATTCAAACAAATGTACCCAATAGGACATGGTATCGCTGCAGATGCCATTGTGCTTGTCATCGCTGGCTTTGGAGCTGTTGGCGGCATTGTAGCTTGCGCTGTTGTCATGGCTACCCTGGTACTGCCGGTGGCAGAAGCCACGGTTGTGGACGCATTTCTCGCTGGGTTGCAGTAGCAAACACACACACGCACAAACACACACACACATGCACACACACACACGCACACACACACACACACACACACACACACACACACACACACACACACACACACACACACACACACACACACACACACACACACACACACACACACACAATGTATGTACGATGTATACGTCCGTCGCAAGAGAAGCACGCAAATCTGCAAATGCACTGGATGTGCACCCACAGTTTTTCTCTTTATAGCAACGATAGCGGATCTGATTCTGATTGAAACAGATCAAGACAAGCGCCAGATAACTGTCTAATCCATACAACTGGCAAAGCCATGTGAATCGACCACCAATGCACACCTGGTCTACATCACACGGAGCACATCGGCATAAAACAGCCAAGACAGTTACCTATGCACACCCTACACTTGCTGGGGTAACCAGTATAGACAGCACGCTGCTTTGATAGAAGCAGACACTAGATGCACTGGTACCTTGAAGTGAAATTGGAGTTATTTTACCAACCGGCCTCGGCAACTGGGTAATGGGAACCCAGAGCCAACAGACATACCAACAACCTCAGCCATGAAAGCTATAATAGTAACGACACACTGGATTGTGGAGCCAAAACTAGTCAAACTTCCAAAATGCTTCGGCAAGAGGGTAGCCTTCCAACAGGTTGGATACACACACACGCATGCACGCACGCACACACACACACACACACACACACACACACACACACACACACACACACACACAAACACACACTCGCACACTCGCATACACACACACACACACACACACACACACACACACACACAAACACACATACAAACACACACACACACCGGATGACTTATATAAACAATGCCGTCACTTGTGAATGCAAAGGCAATTTTACGGAACACTTTAAAATGCTTCTGGAATCAAAAGCTCAAACTTTACTGAAAAGGAATCAACATTGCAAGAATTAGTACAATTCAGATCTAGGGCAGAAGTGCTTTTTGGCACGTTTCAGCTACCAGGCTGCTCGAACCCCATTGCCAGCAGCCATCTTCTTCAAACACCAAGCTCCATCTAAGCATGTATTGCGACTTCATCGAACAATTGATAATTTGAGTAATGCTGACGGGAGGGGTGCCCACGGCCCCCGGCCAACATCACAGAACTCACACCGCTCAACGCAGCTCCATGCCAACATACAGGCCTAAAGAAGAGAATGAAAATCACGCACAATGTCCGGGGATGAGGGCTCACTCACTAGCACACACGGTGACGAGCCGGGTTGCAGAGCTGCCTGATACGGTAAACGTGTCTTTGAATGATGTCACTGACGAATCATTGAGCTCAACTGACACAGTCTTGTTGCCAAAGTAGCCCACGAGAACAGAGATAAAGCCAAAATAGCAAGACTCCCGATGCATGCTTGAGGTTGGAAACTCGTCTCTTGCACACAGATTGTCCATGTCGGTGCTGTCAAAGACACTGAGGTTGTAGTTGGCACACGATACTCGGAGGTTAGAGAGAGTTCCTGGACAGGCAGACAGACAATGTGCAGCAGAGAGAGAGAGGGGGGGGGGGGGAGTGGTCATTATCATTCTAAATAAGACAGCCATAAAACGCTACTACAGTCATACGGTTATCCGGACCCAGACGTTACGACCACCTTGGTTTACCGGCCACTCTTTGGGCCATTTTCAGTGGAAATATTACTACTCCTTTCGAGTCCGTTTTACAACAGTCTCTGCTGGGATGACAGCTGCACCATAGCTCAGTGGTTAGAGCATCGCTGGCCTCAAGCAAAGGTCCCTGGTTTGAATCCTGGTGGCGACAGTCAATATTTTTCTTCAGATTTCTTTCCCGTTTGCATTCTTTCCCTCAGGGCATGTTCGATTGGTAGGATCGGGATCCCGATCCACCAGATCCACTGGATTCACACCCTTTCGATTGGTCGAATCCAGATCCGGATCCTTCGAATTTGGATCCAGTCAACCCACCTCGGGGAGCAGGGTTGACAGATCCAACGAATCCAAATGTGACCTCTGTGTGTATATGGTGGGTAAAAATCATGTTTTGTACACATTGGGGTACGCACACACATGGATCGAGATAGAGCTTGTTGACTTTTTGTACGACGCACCCGATGAGCACGACCTTCACCCTTTTGGGTGATTTGTGAGCGCCATTTTATTACTTCGTCAACGTGGCCACAGTCAAGGTCCAAAATAAAGTGTTCAGTTGAATCTGAAGGATCCGACGGATCTGAGATCTGGATCCAGATCCTGATCCTTACCAATCAAACATGCCCTCAGACTAATGTATACATTTTAATTGTGGTAATAAATGACGCCTTATGCCATATCAAAAACTAGGATGTTCAGCCCATCATTAACCCACTCGGGTCGCTGTGGCAACAATGTCACGCCATTCCTTCCCTGTCCCTGTCCAGCGCTTGACCTATATCCAGCGCATTAGCCATGCTGGAGCTATCCTGTGGAACCAGCTCCCAGACACAGCACGCCTCAAAAGAAAGCGCTTCACTTTCAAATCGCTAAGCCTGGCTTTTCTGTTAGGCAGTACCCTAAACTAGGATGAACTCATCTGCTCTCTCACTCTCTCTCTCTCTCTCTCTCTCTCTCTCTCTCTCTCTCTCTCTCTCTCTCTCTCTCTCTCTCTTCTCTCTCTCTCTCTCTCTCTCTCTCTCTCTCTCTCTCTCTCTCTTTCACTCCTTTCTTCCCGGTTGCCATGCTTGTGACATTTTTCCCCTGCTGCCGTGCTCGTATTAGTTATCTAACTTATATTCTTCTCTGTTCTGTTTGTCCGCTTATTTTTATATACTTTTCGTTTCTCTTATTATCAGTGGGACCATTGTCACTAGGTTTAGGCCTGTTTTGGAGCTCCACTCTAAATAAAGCCAAATAACAACAAAAACAACAACAACAACAACAACAACCCGTTCTACCATGCTAACCGACCCCCACCACGACTACCCGAAAAAAAAACTTAGGCAAACCCTACCTAAAACAGTAACACAACATCGTCGCCTCGGCATCATCTTTCAGCACGACCTAAGATAGTCAGCCCACCTTGACTTTGTGCTGAAGAAAGCCGTAAAATCTTTCAATATTCTCTTTAGGCTCAAATCAACTCTACACACTAAATCACTCTCTCTTATTTACAAAACATATATCCTGCCTATAATTGAATATGCATGCATTGCTGTCACCCCGCTCTCAATCGCAGCCCTTGACCGTCTTGAGCGAATCCAGCGCAAGGCGGCCAGAATCTGCCTCCGTCTCCCCCTCTACACTCCTCTGAATCATTCAACACTGCTCCATCGGCTCAAATGGCCGACAATGTTCTTTCGCCGCAAAGTGAAGCTCACCCTTCTTGCTCACTCCATATGCCCCACAACACATATGCATGCTCAACACCCCCGCTCAAGTTACGGCCGAGTACAGCCTTCGACACGCACGCACTTGGCACCTCCCACCCTCAAGAACCGATCGCTGTAAAGACTCCCCACTGTACAAGTCCCTAGAATACTACAATGCCCTCCCTGCTAGCATTCGTGACATCTCCTCCCGACCTGCTTTCAAACAAGAAATCTGCTCACTGCTGATTAACTCAATCTGCTCCTGCAGCGCTCACCCTCTCCCATACTTGTAAAGTTCAAAGTGATGTAAATCACTTTCTAACTGTTTAACTCACAATCTCACCTTCTCATATATTTATCTCTTATTGGCGATGGTGCCATCGTGAGAATAAAGAATTCAAACAACAACAACAACAATGCTCACTCCATAAAATACCAATATGCCCCACAACACATACGCTTGCTCAACACCCCCGCTCAAGTTACGGCCCAGTACAGCCTTCGACACGCATGCACTTGGCACTTCCCACCCTCCAGAACCGATCGCTGTAAAGACTCCCCACTGTACAAGTCCCTAGAATACTACAATGCCCTCCCTGCTAGCATTCGTGACGTCTCCTCCCGACCTGCTTTCAAACAAGAAATCTGCTCACTGCTGATTAACTCAATCTGCTCCTGCAGCGCTCACCCTCTCCCATACTTGTAAAGTTCAAAGTGATGTAAATCACTTTCCAACTGTTTAACCCACAACCTCACCTTCTCATCAATTTATCTCTTATTGGCGATGGTACCATGGTGAGAATAAAGAATTCAATTCAAACAACAACAACAAGATAGTTCTCCAGGCTGCATCCTCTTGCGATATGTCCATAATACCGAAGTCTCCTGCTGTAGATTTTATCCGCTGACACTGGTCTCTCCATGCCAAATTCCTCCCAATAGTAATATGTTTGTTTTGTTTGTTTATTTAGCTTTATTTTACTTCACCAGAAGCACAGGCAAAACCTGCCTTCTCACTGGGCGTATTGCCACAGTTCTTGCAGAATGATGAAGGTGGTGATATAAGAAAAGGAGGAGGAGGAGAATACAATCATGAACAAGGCACAAAGAGAAGACGGAAACAAATCAATGAGGGGGTACTACAAGTAACGAATTGGAATTTGATGAATTTTTCATGAGAATAATGCAGCGGATGCAAAGGTTCCAGGGTTGAGGGAATGTTGACAGTTATGCGTCTTTGAGATCTTAGGAGAGGGTAAGAGAGTTTAAGATAAGGTTTGTAATTGCTTTCTTAAATGCAGAAGGAATTGTGATGGAGCGGACATCAGGCTGCAGCGAGTTCCAGTACACACTACCAATGAACTGAACAGTGGGTCGACCGGAATGACCATGTTAAGAGAAAAGGACCAATAAGTGACTAGTTATGACTAACAGTCCACCAAGGTAACCAAGGTAACCAAGGTAACGAGATAATATACAGTCATATACAGTCAGACCTCGCTTATCCAGATACCTCACCATCCGGAAGAAAATCATTGGTTACCCATTTACAGCATATAGCATGCATACATTGTGTGTTTGATTATCCGGTTCCCTCGCCTATCCGGACATTTTTGTGGAAAACGGATGTGTGCGGTTATGCGAGGTCTGACTGTGGTACGACAGCGAGGCACAAAACTGACAAGAATATTGAGACGTTCGACGACCTGGCGCCTAGTTCCAACATATCTACGAAGCGCAAACCAACAATCTACTAGCTTGGAAGGCTCAGGTGCGGAAAGTTCCATTGACATGTAGACTGGCCCACAGACACAGACAGACAAACACAGAAAGACACACAGACATATGGGCTGACCCACGGACACAGACAGACAAACACAAACAGACAGACACGTCTGCTTCGTGTCCCGTTTTTGCCGGGTCCTTCCGGTCGATCCACTGTTCAGTTCATTGGTAGTGTGTACTGGAACTGCCTGCCGCCTGATGTCCGCTCCATCACCATTCCTTCTGCATTTAAGAAAGCAATTACAAACGATATCTTAAACTCTCTTACCCTCTCCTAAGATCTCAAAGACGCATAACTGTCAACATTCCCTCAACCCTGGAACCTTTCCATCCGTTGCATTATTTTCATGAAAAATTCATCAAATTCAAATTCGTTACTTGTAGTACTCCCTCATTGATTTGTTTCCGTCTTCTCTTTGTGCCTTGTTCATGATTGTATTTTCCTCTTCCTCCTTTTCTTATATCACCACCTTCATCATTTTGCGAGAACTGTGGCAATACGCCCAGTGAGAAGGCAGATTTTGCCTGTGCTTCTGGTGAAGTAAAATAAAGCTAAACAAACAAACACATACACTGACAGACAGACAGACACACACAGACATACATACAGACCGACAGACACACATACAGACAGAAAGACCGCAATGACTAAGACGGGAACAAAGACGACGACAAGGACGATGCTGATGATGCTGACATCGATGACCATCTGAACAAAACTATAAACAGAATCAAATGCGCACACGGTGTCGATGAACTTGTAATTTCCTCCTCAGCCCCCCACCCCTGTCTTTCTCTTGGTCGATGTTTGGCATTGTTTGCTTCAGGGGGGGGGGGGGGGGGTGCTTCAGGGACAGCAAGTCTTTTTTAGGCAAATCCTTAGAATTCCACCAACTAAAGCAGATTTTGAACAGTCAGACGGTCACAATGTAACAAAAAACTGACGAGGAGTACTGCGACATTCCACGCCATGAAAGTCAACTTGAGCACAGCTCGATAGCGCTAACCAACGTCCGACTGTTCAAAATCTGGTTTAGTTGGTGGACTCGATCGCATAACTTGTGCCAACATTTTTAAATGTTAAAATATTTCCCTTGGCTCGCCATCTGAATCCTTAGCATTATTCCCACTATGAAAACTGTACGAAGAAAAGAAGATCGTTCCCATACCGTGACAAATGGCTGTAGTATGTTGCTCGATACCGAAGTCACCCAAACTATTCGTTGTCTCTCTCTGCCAATACCGCCCAAAGCTTGGCAGCATGGTGTTTAACAGTTGCCGGAGTTTTGGCAAACAGTCCATAGATGACCGGCTGATGAGAGGTCCGCATTTGTCCAGCGCTGCCTTGCGGCCCGCCGGCAATTGACCAGATGGTAACCACGCAACAGACCCAGTGTTTGCGCACATTGAGCGAAGATTCCCTGCACGGGGCGAGTAAGAGAGAGAGAGGTCGAGAGAGGTCGAGAGAGAGAGAAAGAGAGAGAGAGAGAGAGAGAGAGAGAGAGTCAGAGAGCAGAGAGAGAAGGAGAAAGAGAGAGAGAGACACACACACACACACAAACTATAAGTTTGTGTCTTCTTCACAATAAAATCAGTTCAGCGACGGACAAGTTTGACATCACAACAGCAGCAGCACACCCTATCCCCCACCCCCCGGAACCAGCACCAGCACCAGCAGCACCACCAGCATCAGCAGCAGCACCTGCACCACCAGCATCAGCACCACCAGCACCAGCATCAGCAGCAGCATCAGCACCAGCATCCGCAGCAGCAGCACCACTAACACCACCACCAGCATCAACAGCAGCAACGCCAGCAACAGCAGCAACGCCAGCAACACCAGCAACGCCAGCAACACCAGCAACACCAGCAACACGTGGTTAGAATGACAATTTGCAGCACTACCTACCAGAAAAGAGCAGCACTACCTACCAGAACAGAGCAGACTACCTACCTGAACAGAGCAGACTACCTACCAGAACAGAGCAGCACTACCTACCAGAACAGAGCAGCACTACCTACCAGAACAGAGCAGACTACCTACCAGAACAGAGCAGCACTACCTACCAGAACAGAGCAGCACTACCTACCAGAACAGAGCAGGATTACAGGTAGGCTTGTTTGGCCAGGCTGGTAGCTGATATTGGTCATGAGCACATTATCTTTGACATTGACTCGCACCTCATACAGAGAATCGGCATTCTGGGCGTTCGTGCCAAGGAAAGCGAACGGCGTGCGCCCACCCAGCCGGCTGTAAATACCTTGCGCAAAGAAACGCAGACAGTAACTGGGCTCATTGTCCACCTTCACCAACCCTAGCGATGTTGTTCTCTTCTGACAGGCAGTTCTCCAGTGAGGATTGGTAGCATGGCTGGCCAGTGATTCGACAACATAGAGATGTGGATTGCAGGAGAACGCCAAGTCCTCCAGCTGACCTGCAGGGTTCATCGGCAGAGAAGCAGCAAAGACAAGAATAGTCTCGACAAGCGCTGCCCGTCATTTACAGTACTAAGCACATAGTGTGCGTGTGGCCACTTGTCCTGTGGAAACGGCACACTTGGCACGCTAACACACCTTCCTCCTTGAGCCCTTCACCAGGGAAAGTCTTCTTTAAAACAATGATAACTAGCCAGGGATAACTAGCCAGGGATAACTAGCCAGGGATAACTAGCCAGGGATAACTAGCCAGGGATAACTAGCCAGGGATAACTAGCCAGGGATAACTAGCCAGGGATAACTAGCCAGGGATAACTAGCCAGGGATAACTAGCCAGGGATAACTAGCCAGGGATAACTAGCCAGGGATAACTAGCCAGGGATAACTAGCCAAGGATAACTAGCCAGAGATAACTAGCCAGGGACACCAATATATTATACATATGGGGTGATGGGAAATATACCGATTATGTGCAAAAAAACAAAAACAAGGTGAAGTATTTAAACACACGGCGAGGAGACAATAATTTGATAACCGCAATAAAAAAAACTAGCTGAACCGATATTTGTGTACTTTATCCATGCAATGTAAAAACGGTGGAGACGATGTGCAATAAAACGATGAAAATATGAAGAAATGGTGTAGGGAAAAATATGGATTCAAACAAGTTTTCGTACAACACTCATCAGGAATCGTCGTTGTACTAAAGGACACTGAAACAAAAATTGAACTATTATAGAAAATCTAAGTTAGAGAAGTAACACTAAGAGCAACAGCAGTGAAATTTACAAGTGTGAATTTTAACAATCAAAGCGAGAAATGAACAAAGGAGGAAGGAAGGGAAGACAACGTGATAACACATAACAGCAGTACATTACACCTAGAACATTAACGGCCAAGCTTGGCCGCACTAAACACGACACATTACTTGAACAATTTCAACCCAATTATACTATCTTCATGTACACACAAATTAGGCTTATATGATAGATAGCTTCCAACACTTTTAACTGTAGTCCATAACCATGATGACCACGGCACAATACAGTGAACGAAGAGTCGGAATATGAATTGCAACAATCAGGACTAGCAAGCAGATGATTGTACACTGAAGACTTGCTACCACGAAACCTACGCACAACACTAACACTCTCACCGGCACTTTCCCCATCACTCCCATCACTGCTCTCCGACTCACTGCTCCCTCCGCCATCCGTTCCATCCTCCACTTCCTCTGTACTCTCTCTCTCTCTGTCTCGTCCATCCCGCCTGACCGGGTCCATTGAACTCAACTCGGCCGTCACCCTGCTATCACGTCCCTCCTTTTGCCCTTGTCCGCTGAGTGCGTAGCTTCTGTTGTATTTGGCTGTTGATTGTCTTGGTCTTTCAATTATGGGCTTGGATAGTGGATTAGCTGGTTTAGCTGTGGTTGCTGTAGATTGCGTTGTTGGTGTTGGTGTGGGAGCTACTGATATGCAAGGCATTTGTAGGGTTAATGCAGCTGTCAGTGTTGATCGCAGTCTGCCACTGGCAAGCTCCACCGCCGCAAGAACCGATGGCGGAGGATCAGGAGGAGGCAGTGGGACCGGGACCGCAAGCGGCACCGCCTCAGCCAAAGCCGCAGGGGGCACTGACGAAGGAACCACCGACGGCCGGAGCAAAGTCGGCGACACAAGCCGACCCGATGAGCCACCACGCCTATTCTCCTCCACCACCGCCACCAGCGACGGCGGAGCAAGCACAGTCTGTGAGCCAGGATCCGCGGGTTGTGTAGGCAACGGCTGTGTGGTTAATGGTTGTTTTCTAGGTCGCCCTCGCTTCGGTCTTTGTTGTTGTGCGCAAGGTGGAAGTATGTGACGTGGTGTGTATTCTATAATAGTTCAATTTTTGTTTCAGTGTCCTTTAGTACAACGACGATTCCTGATGAGTGTTGTACGAAAACTTGTTTTAATCCATATTTTCACTACACCATTTCTTCATATTTTCATCGTTTTATTGCACATCGTCTCCACCGTTTTTTACATTGCATGAATAAAGTACACAAATGTAGGTTCAGCTAGTTTTATTGATTGCGGTTAACAAGGTGAAGTGCTAAAGTTTCAAGTAGCTGTAGGTGTTGACTAAGAACAGAGGTGGGTAAAGTGAAAAAAATCAATAAAAACCATACATTCGTGAATATAAGTCACCACAAACATTGACACGGATTGCAGGCAGTACCAGATCCAATTGAAGAGAGTGAAAGTCCCTCAACGAGAACAAGGACAATTCTTAGAAACACCCCAAACCAGCACCACCACCAAATAAATAATGTTCATTTAGGGAAGACTCGGCACACACACACACACACAAACCTTTTGCGAAGATCGCTAGCACCACTTCAACTTCATTGCTATACGAATTAAAGATTTCCCCTCTGACTGACTACCTATCCAATACTCGATTCTTACCGAAACATATCACTGCGCTGTTTTGATTTCTTCTAGGTGACTGAGATGTGCGAAATTTGTTGAAGCTACGGAAATACTGCAAGACATCGTCCTTGAAAGAGCTAAAGCAAGGATCACTGTTGCCATCTGCCTTGCTGGCTGGTAGCTGTGAATGGCAAGTTTGCTGGGCATTGCTGGATGACAACGAGAGAATACGGATGTCTTGAGGTAACCAGGCCGAGGTGCCGGACGCACAGCGTTTGTACGCAGCACCTGTGTAACGCACATATGCAACACACAGACATACGCACATGCACACACAGACATACGCACATGCACACACAGACATACGCACATGCACACACAGACATACGCACATGCACACACAGACATAAGCACATGCACACACAGACATACGCACATGCACACACAGACATACGCACATGCACACACAGACATACGCACATGCACACACAGACATACGCACATGCACACACAGACATAAGCACATGCAACACACAGACATACGCACATGCACACACAGACATACGCACATGCAACACACAGACATACGCACATGCACACACAGACATACGCACATGCACATACAGACATATGCACATGCAACACACAGACATACGCACATGCACACACAGACATACGCACATGCACACACAGACATACGCACATGCACACACATACACACATGTACACACATATATGATACTCACTCCATTAGAAGCCCCTCTCGAATACAAGCACCTCTCGAATACAAGCCCCTCTTGAATAATGCCCCTGTTAGAGTTATGGACAGTTCAAAGTTGCGAGCAGAGTCTGGTGCCAGACCGCCCAGATGAATCGTAAATAGGGGTGAAACGATTAGTTCGAATATTCGAGTATTCGTTCGAAAATTTCAAACGAGCGAGTATTCGAAATTTTGCACTCGATTTTTTTTGTATTTTTTTTGTATTGGCATTGTATTTTCAAAAACTTTTGTTTTACCGCTGGTCCACTGGTCACGGCTGTTCCCATTGCTACGCGTGGGTGCGAACAGCACGATTTGTGTGATGTTCACTGCAAGAAATTTGAATTTTATGAATGTCCTTTGGTAGCCAGTGTTCGACGTCGATCGATTGTAGATCTCTCTGCTTGCTGTAAAACATGTTTCTGCTTGTCCGTGACAATAGTCTTTCCTGTGAATGCTGCGTGCAGGTTTGACCAAGACTTCGTGCATGATGGATGTATTTAGATGCCTTGTTTGAACTATTTATTCTAGTCTAGTTTTAGTAATTATCAACGAAACGAAAGCGATTTGCAGAGCACTGTAGTGCGCTGGATCGTAACTCGCTGGCTGTCTGTCTTGTTCATGCAACTCGTCACTGGATACTGTTTTGAAGATGCAGTCATGCTGAGTGTCGATGGATCGCGGAGTTTGAGTGGACTTGTGTGTAACATTTCAGAACAAATTTCCTCTGGTATTGCCATATCGACATCAAGTGTGAAGGAAAAAACGCACGTTTGTTGTAAACCCATATCCATCATAACGTGCAAAAGATAGATCCCCATGCCCGCTTTGCTTGCACAGAGCCAGTCCTCCACGGACCAGAAGGGAATGGATGTATTCATGCATAGTGTGAATGCTGTGATTAGAGTGCAGCGGGAGAGTGCGGCTGCTCCCTGGATTGAACAACAGGGACCAGCGACTGGTACCTTGGCAGAGTGGTCAGAAAGTGCTGCTTGGTTATGGTTTTAGCCTCTGTACAGGACATGCAACGCCACCATGACGTCTTGCCAGCGTGTTGAACTCGGCGTGCAGTCCCTCCCCGCCCTGCTCACCATAAAGGTCAAGGCCAGTGCCAAAGTGTGCCATCTGGTCGACAACATGAAGCGTCGGTGTCACATTGCCCATCTTCCTGAGCACGATGTATCACATTATAGGGTACCTCACTTCAAACTCTCCAACTACGGTCTCTTCGCTGCATACGTTCACTTCACTTCCAAAAAATATAAATAATACTTCCTCCGTTAACAAAAACTTCGTGATGGATTTTTAACCCTTTACCGGCAAGTGCATTTTGTATATGAAATCCATAACATTGAGAAGGATGCCAATAACTCACAACGAGGGCACATTTTGTACGTGCAAGTTATGTTTTCTTGGAAGTCTGGTACTACTTCTTGAAGATGGAAAAAATTATTTTCACATACCACACACATACGCTGCTATACGTCTAAACACGGAAATTGTACACAATGCAAATCGTCAGATTCCGACATTGACATGAAACTGCCAAAAAAAGTCGACTTCAGAGCGGAAACGAACGCCATAGCCATCACAGACTTCAGTGGCCATGCCTCGCTCGCAATTGAGAGCAGCATCGCCCCCAAATCGCTGTCCGATGGCTCTGTAAGGTCGTGCGCAAGTCGCGCAGCGCTGCCGTCACTCAGGTACGTAGAAAGTCGATGGCCTCAAATTCCGTCTCTGGAAGACTGTCGACACAGGGATCACTCTCCATGGCTTCCGCACCATAAGCACCATCAGAGTCTTCCAGTTACATCACGACGACATCGTCTTCAGCGGCTGGAGCTTCCGATATTTGCGTGAGAATTTACTTGGCGTACGCTCCGCTCCGCAATTTGAAATTCGCTTGCATCGGCGGCTGGAACGAAGTATTTATCTATCTGTCGTGGGTCCCAGAGCGAAGGTCTGCTAGGTCCTCGTCGGAGAAGTCATCTGAGGACGAAAGGAACTCACTGCGCAAGAGGAAATGCAACTGACGACGTTTTGACGGAGGCAGACGGCATTGTCGGCGCGCGTGTATTTCCGTAAATTTTCGATCGCGCAGTTCTCAATGAAATCAAATGGGACACGCGTGGATCTCTTCAGCTACGGATAGGATCATACCTAGGCTGTGTGAGGGCCACGGGAAATCCCCGTGGGCTGATGCTTCCTGTCATACCAGGCATGGTTTTAGTATGCATGTCGAATGCGTCGTTTACGACGCATTCAAGTATGGGGCTGCCGGTAAAGGGTTAAGTGGCTGGTTTGCGCACAAACTGCCGTGAAATGGGTCGCAATTACTTTCTTGGCCTTCCCTTGCATGCCATGAAAGAGGTACGATTCAAGGAAAGCGACCTTGCTCAACAAGCCGAGCGGCATGGATGGTTGCGCTATGGAAACAGTCATGGCGAGCTAAACTGAGATAGCACTTCTCCAAAGGGATATTGCGATGCTTGGCTTCTCTACTACTCTAGCACTGAGTTACTTTGAGAGTGGTAGAGAGCGATGAAACGGAGCAGGGAGCCCACACAATGAGCGAGTGGACAAGGAGCTGCTCTGATCGCACGGCTCGATGAAAATAATTCTAAACTCAAGTTTTTATTCAACCTGCCCAACGCCAGATTCGAATCCTGGTGACCATGCATTCTTTCAGAAGCCTGCAGTCTGATGCGAGTCTCGTGGCTGAAGAAAGTCGACTGGACTTGCAAAGCCGGTGCCATTCAGTGCTGGCAGGGGTATCCATCAGAGAGATGGAATCAGTTTGCCTGTGCCTTTACTCCTCGTTTCGTGGAGTTCTGGGAAGCAAAGATCAGACCAGGGATTCGTAAAATAATTTTATGACTCCCTGGTGGAAACGAGTAATCGCCATCCCGGCGGATCACGCAGCTTGAAAGCCAACTGACTTGAACGATGGCGACATTAAGGTCAGCGAAGTGTGATCAAAGAAGCCGAGAACTCTCTGCTCATCCCGCCAACAGTTTCTCTTGTAAAGGCGTATATTGGCTGAATCACCTTCGTCCAGTGATTTGCAGTCGATAAAAACTGTTCTTGACCTGTTCTAAGGGTTTTCATATGAATCAGATTCCATCACGAAGTTTTTGTTAACTGAGGAAGTATTAGATACAAATGGAATGCACCAAATTTTCGGGCATGGCCCATCTTCAGGGTGAAAAAACCATTCAACCGTAGTTGGAGAGTTTGAAGTGAGGTACCCTATAATGTGTGAATGGCTGCAATGGAGTCTGCGAGTGCTTAGAAAAGTTTACGATGTATCACCTTTAAACAATGCTTTCGGTGCATTGACAACTTCGTCAACTGCGTGTGTTAGTTTAATGGCAGACGGTAGTGGTATGGTGTGGCTTTGTGGGTTGTGTGCACAACGAGTGACATGATGCTTGAATTCCCCAAGCGTGACTATAGCATTGCAACCATCATATGGTGACACATGATAGTCACAATGCAGTGACATGGCAGGCAAGGCTTTGGAAATGAAAGGATGTGGTGCCGCAAGTTTAGAGGCAAGCAAAGGCTTCCTACACATGGGGCAGACACTGGAACCACTGAGCCAATGCCAAATGCATTTCAAACAAAATACATTGTGGCAGCACAGAGTTTCAATAGCTTCATCTACCACTATTTAATGTGCACATGGGACAGGATGCATGCTGCACGTCGTGCGTAAAGCGTAAAGAATACAAAGGTAAGGTAGCCTGGTATGCCATGGTTTTTAGTGAATCCATGCAGGAAATTTCAATATCTACGCCACTACACACAACCAATTCTGCTGAACTTTCAAGACTTTTTCATTTGCTACACTTTCATTTGACTTTGCTCTACTTTCCTCCCTACTGACACTAGACTTTTTCACCTGTATGCAAACTGTTTCTTGCAAAGATATTTTCTTGGGTCTCCCAGCTCTACTGAAACTACAACAAAATTCACAATTAACCCGCTTATGAGGAACCCAATCCCTTTTCTCACTACAACCTCCACGATGCATACTTTCAATTGCAGCTCGTTCAAATTTCTGCAAAACGTGCATGCAGGTGCTGCAAACATTTGGAGGATGAACCTCAGGAGAATCGGACGAGACGTCTATACCAAAGCAGGTCTCCAGCTCACTTGCAAGTGGTCCTGCAACGTAGCGCTGGGATTTACCCATCCGCGAGAATCTCATGCCACCAACTCAGCAAACCTAAGCCAGGCGTTAGACATGGACGTCCAAGGGCGCCATGGAAAAACCTACTTCCTCGCAAACCTACGAAGTTGGCAGGCTTGGAGATTCGAAAAATAGGAAAAGGAACCTGGGAAGTAAAAGAGAAAATTGGAACCATGCACAAGGAAATTGATTGGAAGGTCAAGAAGAGGCGACGAAGAGAAAGCGATGTCGAGGAGAAGCCAATGGCGGACAGCAACAAGAAGCTCGAACAAAAAAGGACCAAACATCGGCGCCACGTGTCCAATTTGAGTGCTTTTTTCGCGAAGAAGCGAGGAGCTCTTGCGCAAGCGTGTACGATGGATTTCAGGTGAAAACATTCAGCTAAAACGACAGTGAGTTGAAGGAAAATTTCATTGACTTTTTGAATTTCTTCGTAGGACGTGTGCTACAGCGTCCGCGTTTCCATGGCTTTTGGACACCCAGGCCAGAAAAGGTGTACCGTACCAAAAGTCGCCAGAAAGTACAGCTTATAACATCCGTGTGGTATGCATGCGTTATGCATGGCTTTAAGTCAGTATTGTAAGACTCGGAGGATGCGATCACCACGTCAAGTAACGTTCCGAGATATGAAAGTACTGATGAAAATCGTTACATTACACTCTGTACAAGACGTTGGCGAATTTTGTTCTATGTTCACAGATAATTTCTTCCGAATTGGGCGAGAACTCGGAAATCTAGTGCCTTTGAATTTTGATAAAACACTATTACTCGAAATAATTGGTTACTCGATCGAATATTATGAACGAGTGATCGATTGGTCAAAATAGATACTCGTTTCACCCGTAATCGTAAAGTCTCGTCAGAGTCCCCCGCCATCTCGTCCTTTCGGGGTCTGTAGGTCACACGGCACGGACCTTGTACACACATTGCACGTTGTGCAGTCGATCCGTACCCAGTTTACCTTCGAGCGGATGCGACCTCCAAATGAAAGCATTCCAAGTGTGACCTTAGCACAGTACGGTTCTCACACTGTACAAACTTAGTAGCACTGCGCCATTCGACTTTCTTCCTTGGCTGTAAAATCAAGTTGGGCGGTCTCGCGAGACAGCGTGCTCTGGCATTACGTTACGGTACATGTTCAATGTGCGAGTGCACATACAAACATACATACAAACAAACATGCCAACATACATACCAACAAACATAGCCAGTTAGCTGCAAGGAGTATTAGGACATGCAAACACACATATACAAAAACAGGACTATGCATGCAGACAAAGACGAAAACACACACATATACACACACAAGCACACACACACACGTACACACACACACACACACACACACATACATGCGAGTCAAGCGGACGCACCTTCACAGACGAGGTAGTTGCCAAGGGATAACAATGTTCCCATGGTTACGGATCCGCCATCGTATGTGTACCGACTGCCGTTGTCCGCAGCGAAGGCAAACCCTCCGGAAATGACATCAGCAGAAACACTTTGACAAAACGTCAGAAAACACGCACTCTTAACTGCGCTAGCCGTAGGTAGCGTTGCTTTCCTCTGCTGGCAAGTGTTTTTCAGCACTTGCACAGTACGGTTGTCTGTGTGTTCCGAGGCTAGGAAATACACGCCAGTGTGGCAGACCTGTGATGCGCCGTCCAAAACCCCTGGGTGAGTGAAACAAAAGAACAAACAAGTACAAACACTTTTGGCCATTTGACGCCCATTGCTGGAGGCGATGATAGCGATGCTACAGCAGAAGCCATAGCAACTTGTGCTGGGATTGCACCATTCAACAGCTTGCAAGGCTGAAGAATTGACTGCCACTATTCAGCTGGGTCTACACCACACAGCTATGAAGTGGCTTTTTCTGGCCAGTGAGTCCCTACTTTTTGGTCTTTTTTTCATTTTTTTCCCGCACACACATCACACCCCATACTCCGGCATGCACTGGCTGTTGGTAACCACCCAGGAGAATGAAAGAAAAGTCAGGAAGAGTCTGAGAAAGAGAAGAAAGACATGTGTGGCCATAATCGTCGGGAATCGAATCCGCAACCTATCGATTGGAAATCGCTGCACATATCCCTGCACCATTTGGGACACACACGCACACGCACACACACACACACGCGCGCACGCATACACAAACACACACACACACACACTCGCACACTCGCACACTCATATACTCACGTGAGATCACACTCAGACAAACGGCAGCAGCAACAGTCCTAAAACCAGTGACTGAGTAACAATAAACACATTTACAATCATGGCTGGCTGCTAGCATAACAACAACAGTGATAATCATGGCTGGCTGGTACCATGACAACAACAGTGATAGTCATGGCTGGCTGCTAGCATAACAACAACAGTGACCATCATGGCTGACTGGCACCATGACAACAACAGTAATCACCATGGCTGAGTGGTACCATGACAACAACAATAGGGACCTTTCGCACCACGCGTACGGATACAAAACGAATGCTGATTCATCACCTGGATTCAAGGATTCATCAGAGTCCCTGCGGAGAGCTCGTTTTCACGAATGAAAGACTCTTCATTTGTGGCACGCTCCGAATCCGTCAGGTACACATTTATTTGGCCAGGTACACATGTTTTGCCAGGTGCACATTTTTTCCCTTGATTCCCTGATCCATGCACGTGTGCGTGTAAGCCCCCGTACGCCAAGCTCCTGGCCGTATTCGTAGTTGCCATGGACATTATTTTGCATGACGACTTGCGAAACCTGAGTCTGTTTTGTTTGTTTAGCTTTATTTTACTTCACCAGAAGCACAGGCAAAATCTGCCTTCTCACTGGGCGTATTGCCACATGTTTTCAACGAAACGATTACGAGCCGAATCAAACTTTCGTTTCGCATTCGATTCGTAGCAAATGCGAAAGGTCCCTAGTGATAATCAGGCACCTCCTACCCACCAGAACCGACTGCTGTAAAGACTCCCCACTGTACAAGTCCATAGAATACTACAATGCCCTCCCTGCTAGCATTCGTGACGTCCTCTCCCGACCTGCTTTCAAACAAGAAATCTGCTCGCTGCTGATCAACTCAATCTGCTCCTGCAGCGCTCACCCTCTCCCATACTTGTAAAATTCAAAGTGATGTAAATCACTTTCCAACTGCATAACCCACACCCCCACCCACAGCATCTCATCTTCTCATAAACTTATCTCTTATTAGCGATGGTGCCATCGCGGGAATAAAGAATTCAACAACAACAATTACAACATTCATGGCTGACTGGTACCATGACAACATCAGTGACCATCATGGCTGACTGGTACCATGACAACATCAGTGACCATCATGGCTGACTTGAACCAAAACAACAACAGTAATCACCATGGCTGACTGGTACCATGACAACACCAGTAATCACCATGGCTGGCTGGTACCATGACTACACCAGTAATCACCATGGCTGACTAGTACCATGACAACACCAGTAATCACCATGGCTGACTGGTACCATGACAACACCAGTAATCACCATGGCTGACTGGTACCATGACAACAACATGTTGCATGAAACAGTAATCGCTATGGCTGACTGGTACCATGACAACAACAGTGATCATCGTCAAGAGCACATGAAAACCAGAGTGTTCAGCTCGGATGGGTGGCTGTCACGGCGGAATTCCGTGATTACATCATTTTAGTGATGTAGTGCGTACAAGAAGGATCCAAGCAGGTCTCTTTCTGCAAAACTGCAGCTCAGTTGTACGCACTACGCCATTTCCCGCCTCAGATCTGGGCCAAATATGATATAATCATGGAATTTCGCCGTGACAGACACCCATAGCAGAAAAGGCCCCAAGCTGCACACTCTGGTTTTCATGTACTCTTGTCATCGTGGTAGACTGGTACCATAACAACAACAGTGATCACCAAGGCTGATTGGCACCATGTGTAGCAAGAATGACCCATGAGTGTGTGTGATCCCTGGTAGTCTAGTCGGTACGTCGCGGCACTGTCCCGGAAAGACAGGGGTGTTTGGTTCGAATCCCGCTCGTGGATCTTTCTTTTGCCACACATGGTAACATCAGCGATAATCATGGCTGACTGGTACCATGACAACAACTGTGACAATCATGGCTGACTGGTGCCATGACAACAACAGTGACCATCATGGCTGACTGGTGCCATGACAACAACAGTGACCATCATGGCTTACTGGTGCCATGACAACAACAGTGACCATCATGGCTGACTGGTGGCATAACAGTTATAGTTATACTGCACCTTGTTTGATGCTAGTGGAACTGCTGGCTGCACGCACAGTCACTTGAGGTAACAGGAGTAGCTGAACTGTAACGAATAGAATCAGAGAGTCTGTCCGCTTTTGTACCTGTGTGCAACATGATTTCATCTACTCGCGCACGCACGCATGCACGCACACATGTGCACACATGCACGCACGCACACACACACACACCCACATACACACATACACACACACGCGCACACACACACACAATCTATAATGATATGGGCCGCGGACAGCTAAAACATGTACTTGGGTTTCGTGACAAAAAAAGGTGAGGAATGACTGAATGAAAAAAAATTGAGCGCGTTCACGATGCGCTTCATTCATGAACCGGTGGCGATCATCTTTTCAGATTTTGCTCAAATTTTGTTCGTTCACTTGTTTGGTGGTCTTGTTCAAGTACCTGGCGAGCAAAGACTGACAATGTTTGTATCTAGTGACAGTAGAGCAGCTCGCAGGGCCAGACGATCGCTGTGCATGGCGCGGGTTTGGTCAGGTGTCAGCAAGTCTGTGACAGCGGTTCTGCAGAGCGACCCATCCGAAGATTGACCTTGTCAGGTTGTCGGTAATCCAGTTTTGAATATTCTTCCGTTCCCGTTTCCTGTGCATGTAGCAAGACCTATTCCCCCTTTCTTGCCAGAACCCCTACTCCAGGGTAACGGCATGGATCCGCTGCCGGATCAGCTTTGCGCTTCTACGCGCCAGCATTGTATTTCTACATGGTGGCCGCCGTTCCAACTTCACTCCCTCTGCCACTATTGCTTCGGTAAATCGTTTTCCACAGACTCCCGAAATGGATATTAATCATTATTATGAGGGTTCTCTACATTTACGTTACATGCTTCAGTAGACTAGAAGTTTGTTTCTCTGTTCTGATTTGTCCATCGAGGGTGGTGGTGTTCCTACGGATGCGGAGAACTCGGCCCTCAGCCGTGTCTCAAGCGAACAGTGATGTTTTTGTTCCGTTGTACTTTTTTTGAAGTTTTTTTTTGGATTTCTTGGTGTTGCCCTCAGTTTTGTTATTACATGACAGATCACATCCAGGATTAGCCATCTTTCTGTTCGCTATTCAATAACACATTCGTGAGATGTCGATCCAGCTGGTACTGCCGATTGCAATGTTTACACACGACATTGTATTTCAACTTTGGAGCGATGCTAAATTCTGTTTTGGCTGCAGTAATTCGTTCTCATTGTTGAAGCGTATTTCCTAGATGAAGGTCTCTTGAAAATCGATCAGGAAACTCTAGGAGATGGCGGTAGCAACATCGGCAAGGGTTTGTAAGAGAGGTGTCCGCTCCCCACACTGGTTGTTGCGCCTCCTCGGCCTACGGAAGCTCAACTGATGAGGGGTAAATTCCCCGAAACACTGTGTATTGAGCAGGGAGTGATGCTTTCTTGCAGGTTTCCCGAGAGCAAGACTTGACGAACTTCTCGTGTGCTCTGGATGGCAGTCGTGAATCAGCCAAGAATCAAGACGCGCGCGAGCTTCGGTGCAAGCACACACATTTCCTACAAAATTCTAGGGCTTATGATGCTTCAATTCTTTGAGGGAATGTTGTAATTATCATTACATTTTGTTATTGCTATGTACGTTATCCGTGTTTATTAGTGTGAGATTGAGGAGCAAACGGGAAAAAAAGTCTGAAAATCCACTGCCCTCACCAGGACTGGAACCAGGGATCTTCCCTTGAGGCCAGCGATTCTCCAACCACTGAGCTATTGCGTAGCTGTCTTCCCAGCAGAGACAATTCTACATGTGCTCAGACTGCCTGTCTTGCGATTTCTACTTATTGCTTCGGTAATCCCTGTCCACTCCCTATAAACCAGCACAATTAGCAAGTAACCGAAATGTCCTCTTCCTGCTCATTGCAGCTGTATGTCAATTTTATTTATCCAGCACCCTGCCTAATCCAGCAGGATTTCCTTTGCACTAATGGTGCCGGGTTATAAGGGGACCACTGTACAGGTCGCCCCCCGTTAATACGAGTCCGGTTAGTACTCTCAAGTCCCGGACGAAACGTGGTCACTTCCATACAAATTTTGTCGGTTAGTACCCAAGTCGTTAGTACATAAACCCCCTTGGTACATAACATTTCTCCGTACCCACATGCCACCTACCTCAATAGTACATAATTTGTTGGTCTTTTGGCCTTCCAGTGAAGGCACATCGTGTTCTAGTTTCTACTTGTGGACGCAATTAGCTCAGAAATCAGAGCGCACATAACAAACCGACAAAGCTCTTTTTCCCCGAGTGACTGTACAGCAGGGAGTCGTCAAATACCGGTATTCGACGACTCCCTGCTGTACAGGCGCGGCTGGGCATGTATCACGTCACTAAACTGTAGAATCTTCGCTGACTGTGTCCGTTGTAACATAATTTTTATGTTATATCGAGGGAATCAAGAATATCTCGCTCCCTAGTCATGGTAGCAAGAAACACTCAGAAAAGTTGAAAAAAGTGAAAATTTCTGGTACACAAGCAAGTTATGTACACTTTCGTTTAGTACATAAACCCCGTTACCGTAATACATAACATTTGTCAAGCCTTCCCAGAGATTATGTATTAACGAGGGCCGACCTGTATGTGTATATTACTGATCTTGTCTCCACGCAGCCTATTCGAAAGAATAGGCGCCCGGACTTAAATTAATTTTGTCAACATCTCTCTACCGCATGCATACACTGGAGGCCGCGTTCATATCAGAGACCGTGCTTACATGAATCTCTCTTTCCAGAGCTGACACCTGAACTGTGCATACCGGCTGAGTTTGTTGGGAACATGTCACGGCTTGGTATGGTGGTACTGCGGTCAGCATGGCTGTACCACGCCGCGTTTGTAGCGGCCTGACTCCTACCTCTTACGTCACTTCACACGCATGCGCAAGAAAATAAATCATTCTCTTTGGCCTCAACTTCTTTGTTGTCCGGTTGGCCAAAGTAGCCGTGGTCTAGGGCCCGACATAAAACCCTAAATGTTTAGTATTCCGGCCTTCACTGTACAGCAACTGGCTCCACTCGCTCTCTCAACTGCGGCACTGATCCAACACGGACCTGGCCAATCTACAGTTCAGTCGGTGGACCATAACGTTTTACATCTTAGCGGATGCAATCAAATAGCTGTGAGTATTAGAGAGGCACCACTTGATGACCCGAGCAATTCATCCTATTATTTAAAAAAAAAAACGATTATACCAATTACTCAGTGAGCGATCGATAATTCCTTATCAGTCAAGTAATCGTTACATTGAAGATTACTCGTTAGGGATTTTGAGTTCAAAAATTACTGAAAACCCTCGTTTTGCGAAGCTTGAATTTGTTTCCACTGTGAGTTTGCAGTTGCCAGGGGCATGGTGCATATTTTGAGGTTAAATTGACTTCTAAACTCCCATGTTTCAGAGCTACCCTGTCACTAATTCAAATTTTTGGTATTAAGCGAGACCAAAAAAAACAGAGATTCCCGGGCCCTCCAGCACCAAAATCAAGCCAAAGCAAATTTTGTTTTGTGAAGCTTGAATTTGTTTCTGAGCTACCCTGTCACTAATTCAAATTTTTGGTATTAGGCGAGAGCAAAAAAAATAGAGATTCCCGGGCCCTCTCGCACCAAAATCGAGCCAAAGCCATCTTTTTTTTAACAGTTCATACATGTATAGTACTGATCATGTGAGTAGATTTGTGACGTGGAGTCACACAAACCCGAGCTTCTACGACTCCCAGATGTACAGACCAGGGCCGTCGTTGGCCGAATTATAGAAAATTGAACGGGTAAACCGCGTACCTGTTTTCTGTAAAAAATTGAATAAAAATTAACGGAAAATGCTGTAAAAAAAGTTCAACATGGCATGCACACATATATAGTCATGTACACACATGGGAAAAAATATAAAATAAAATTCGCCCGCCCGCACCAATTTCACATGGGTCCTGCCCGGGAATCTCGATTTTATTTTGGTCTCGCCTTTTGAAGGCCTATCTTTTGGAAACAGAGCATTTTTTGCACAAAATTCTGACACTATTTGCTAACGGTTATAATCAATAAATCAGTCGCTAAGCTAAAGAGTAATCGATAGGTGAAAATCCACGATCGTTTCAGCCCTAAATTCTTCATAGAATTCCCCACTTATGATTATGAGATAGATAATATTCGTCCAGGTTGGCACCAAAGAATGCTAATTGCTGGCTTTCAGGGAGTTCCCCTTTGCCGTTCTTTCAGTCCGCGAATTTCTCGCTCCAAGCTCTTCATAATTGTGGTAGTTTACATTCGTCATTCACAGCTTGTCTTTTCGCGCTCTGATAAGAGAGCTGCATGTTTCATGCGCCACATTCTCGGCAATGCAGCTGGCCGGTTTCAAGTGATGAACGAACTGTAGAAATATAGATATGCCTGCATGTCTCAAGCCAGTTTCAGTTATAAGGCCATGGCTTCAAACTTCCAGCCCAGCAGAAAGGGTGAAAATTTGCATTTACTATGCACTACTTCAGGGAATGGAAAAGCGAAAAAGTTTGTAGAAAAAATTGACTGTCACTACCAGGATTTAAGGTAGCAGCCTGGTCGTAAATTTCATTTGGCATTCAATTGACCGTAATTTTGGTGTTTCGCAATGGATTTGAGTGAAAATTTGACCACACACTCCTGCCACTATGCTGGCCCTCAGGATATGATTTACAAGTTCTTGCACCTCACTGACAGGCTTTCCAGGCCGGAAAAACCAAAAAAATTGCGGCATAGTGCTGCGGTGTACGAGCCACCCAGGAGCCAAACAAATGCACTTACAATTTTTTCACATTTTCGTGCCCATTCTGTCCGTGCGTGGGACCCAAACCTAAAACAAGTCCAGTAGCAGCCATGGGTGGTGGGGTAGGGCCCCTCAACGTGGCCCTGGAACCTCCATAGCAAGCCATTTCCACAGCGCTGCACACGAAATCCAGGATACCCTCAGAAACCGGCAAAGACTACCACTCACGTTCCACTACTGCCTAGTACTGAATCCTACCTGACTTCTTGATACGACTCAAACTTGCCAAAGTCACTAAATCAACGTCAACTACAATAATCAAGCCACATATCTGCAACGTCACGAGGGTGCTGGCAAAAGTCCTGCTGCACGGCGGCGGGCTTTGCCCATCGCCGTGCAGCCCAATACGTGGTTTTTAACGTGATTTTTTGGAGTTTTTTTGGACTTGGAGCAAAATTCTGCACACTTTCGCGTGTTTCCATTATACAAGTTGCGCACGGTCTGCTCACATTCAAATACAGTGCTGCCAACAAATGACAGCGTGCAACAAAAAAAATCTTTCCTTGCAAGGGCACATTTTCGGCCATAACTCTTGAACGGCTGGTCAGATCGAGACAAATTTTCAGAGATTTTGCAGCTATTCATGCTCTTTCAACTGATGTAGCACTTGATAAGAATTTACAAATTCGACTTTTCAGGGATTTTACGACCAGTCTGCCCCCTTAAGCCAGTGACTTTCGTTTGAGGCCAGCGATGCTCTAACCACAGAGCTATGGTGTAGTCATCATCCCAGCAAAGACCGTTCAACATACTCTTCAGACTTCGAAACGCAAGCTCCCTGTGATACTACCCAGGCTGGTGAGACGCAGCCCTCCTCACTGTTCCCACAGTCCCTCACACTTCCTAAAGGGGATTTGGGTTTGAAATTTCTTTGTGGATTTTGACTTTTATGGCATGGCGTAGTGGCTGAGGCATTTCGCATCCAACATATCTTATAAAGCAGCGACTATAGCGACTATAAGGCTATGGATTAAAAAGTGCTGACATAACCCACAACGTCTGTGTTCTAGTCGTTTCTTCGTTCTCCCTGCATGCAACTTTGTCATCGCTCTTGTTCTTATTTTCGTCTCGAGCCGGGTTTGAGTTCTTTGTAGAAAAAAAGAAGAAGAAAATACAGTAAAAGATTTTGTGGATTCGGGTGCTAGTTATATCCTCATTCATCAATGTACCATTTTTGGCAGGTAATGGTTGCCACTGCCTTTCCTAGATGTCACAACAGCTTCTATGGTGTGCGGGCTAAATATGGCAGACCACGAACCCTTGGCGAGAGGCTCCAGGGTGCCTAACTGATCATTGGACACCCATGGTCAACTAGGTACTCACTTCGCGGAGTGAGGGTAACATGGATGCAGCCAACGAGGTTCGCCCCCTTGTTGGGCACTGGTTTGAGAGTTACTGCCTTACCCCGCCGTTTATGGCGCTGCATCTGCCACCCTGGTATAAATTGGCATGGCCGGGGCCTGGCACGAGCGAAACTTCTCTAAGCTGATTGTGTGTTTCTCAACACAATCGTAAGCCGGTGGTAACGCGGATGTGCAAACTTTTCTTTACTATACATCAATTCTGTAGACTTTGAAGGAGAGGAAACAATGATAATTCAATGAAAATCGCAATCCCGCGAAGAAGAAAAACCCGTTTAGTGCTGGGGCCCAGTATGTGTGGATAGGCGTCGTCGTGGTAACCACCAGTATGTGTGGATAGGCGAAGTAACCACCAGTATGTGTATGTATATGAAAGACATGAAAGAAGACCTTCAATATGTGCTATGTTTTTCGTTGGCTTTGCACGAGGCCTGAACGTCGAACATCTGCTACAGTCCATTCAGAAAAAGATGAGCGCTGGCTCCGGGGAGCTCCCGTATTTGGTGATGTTTCATGATTTTGTGGTACAGTGTGGAGTGCCGCGAGATTTGAAATTCAAAAATCCAAAAAAGGTACCTCTTTTCATGGTTTTCCCCAATTCAGTGCTTTGTTGGCAAAACCTAGTCAATATCCTATTCTTGTTATGGCTTGCTTGTTGGAGAAATAGACTTCAGAATCATAATTAGGAGAGGATTCCATGGGGGATTGCAAAACAATTGTGAAAAAAACTCCCTGAAAAAAACTCAAAATTTGACCCATTTACTAGGATATCATCTTTTTCTGAATGGACTGGAGTGGTGGTCAGGAAGGGCCACAGCGACAGGTGTTCATGGAATTGTGACAAGTTGCCTGGGGGACCTGACTCTCACTTACCTTGCACAAATTGCTGACTGAAATGCACGAGGAATTCCTGCCGCAGAGTTCGTGATGCAACCCACTCTGCTGCTCTGCCCCAGCATTCAGTTACAAACAAACAAACAAACGGTGCACTACTCCGTCCTCAAGCCAAGTAGGTCCCAACCACTAACTGATTTGCTCACGATCTCGGCGAGAAAAACGCCGTCCAAAACTCCCTGCTGTCTACATGAGGCGTTTGTATGTTCAAGAAGTCTCAATCAACATCCTTTCCCAAGACTGCTTCAAAAACAAATTTTGGCGAAGACCACGAAAACGAAAAGGAACGTTCTCACATGTGGATGTACGGTATGTGATGAACTGACAAAAGCATCTAGATTCCGAGTACGGTATGACTGGTGAATCATGATTGTAGATTGTGTACTACAAGACGATGTAGTGTCCCGATCTGGCCGAGATGCACTGCTGCATGACACTGCGCTGTTGTCGTGTTTGCGGATCTTGTATTTGTACCTACATGTACTGACACTCTGCAAATGATCATGTTCCAGTGCCGTGTAGGACGTAGGAGTACGACCACACACGATGTAGTACAATTGTACTTTTGTAAAGTATTAGTAAGTTGTAGTTTTACAGAACTGTACTAGTACTAGTAGTCTTGACTGGATCAGTGCATTGACCATTGACCTGTTGACGCATTGTCGACATGTCCAGCTCCAGCTCCAGGTGCACAAAATCACGACAGTAGTCAAGATGCCGTACCAACCAGTGCAGAACCGCACTCAATTGCTTGGAGGAATCGACCATGGAACCCACGGAGCAGGTACATGATCAGCAACACCCATCTCCACGCGCACGCACAGGCATGATAAGAGCTTTCATTCTACTCAAACGCTCACAGAAACAGCAGAAAAAAGGAAAGAAAAATAAACCATCAGAGAAAAAAACCAAATGGGAGAATGATGCAAACCAAATTATAGCAATAAAAACTGCTTTATGGCAGTTTTCTAAAAAAAGTTAATCACAACAGTCAACACTTGAAATCCTGCTTTCAACACTAAACTTGTACTGCACCAACAATTGGCAACATGCATGCATAGGAAAGAGGATCACGAGGGGAAAAGGTCTTCTACATGTAGCTTTTTATTCTGTGTGTGATAATTGTGAGGTTTTGTGTGAAATTTTAATTTTCAGCTATCACATTTCGTTAATTTCTTACTTTTTAGACGGGGTCCATGGACTAGAACACAATAACTTTTTTTAGAAAACTGCCATAAAGCAGTTTTTATTGCTATAATTTCTTTTGTTTTTTTCTGTCACCAATCAATGGAATGCCCTATATCAAGAGTACATAACCCCGTACTCTTGCCTATATCAAGAGTACACGTACATGAAAACCAGAGTGTGCAGCTCGCATGGGTTGCTGTCACGGCGAAATTCCATGATTACATCATTTTAGTGATGTAGTGCGTACAAGCCGGATTCAAGCAGGCCTGTTTCTGCACAACTGCAGCTCAGTTGACTTGTACGCACCACGCCATTTCCCGCCTCAGATCTGCACCAAAATGATGTTGTGTTGTTGTTGTATACTTTATTTATAGTGGAAATCAAAACAGGCAAAATGCCTAATAACATTGGACCCACTGTGAATAACATGTTAAAGGATATTGTGGAAAAGTAGATACAAGAGAAAAAGAGAAAGGAAAAAAAACTGATGTAATCACGGAATTCCGCCGTTACAGATACCCATAGCAGAGAAGGCCCCAAGCTGCACACTCTGGTTTTCATGTACTCTTGCCTATATCAATATGTAAATGATGGCCGTCATATCATATCAATACCGTATTATTATTAGAAAAGCGATCCTGTCAGCTTTTCTATTATTGTGTTCACATGGCGCTACCTAACGACACCGCTATTCAGACACGTTGTCTACGTAGCTACGTAAGTTTCTACGTAAGATGCTCGGTACCTGGTCCTGGACCAGGGAGCTACTCCATGGCTCCTCGTACCATCGCGCGGCCGGCTGGCCGCATGCGTGTGCATTGTAGACTTTTTGTTGTTGCCTTTTCGGATGTGCATGCACGAGGAACTTCCTTCTTTGGAACTGCTTCTTGCATGAGCTGTTTCGGATATTTCGTCTCCTGACCTGACTTATTTCGGTTCGGCGCTGCTGAGACCTCCTTTCGCGGAATATTACTCAATGACAGGTGAGTTGACCAGTTCCCTTTGATTCATTTGCTTGTGTTGACTCTTTCATTTACGAAAAGTGTGCTGATTTTGGGCGGAATGCAATAAATAATGGAAAAGCTGACAGGATCTCCTTTCTAAATTTAGCTTTTCCGCTGCCGAGGCCTCCTTTTACGGAATACTCAATGACAGGTGATCTCTGAGTTGACCAGTTTCCTTCGACTCATTTGCTTATGCTCACCCTTTCATTTACGGAAACGTGTGCTGATTTTATTCGGATTTAGATCCATTTTTATCTCTTTGCCCTTGCCTACAGTGTGCGAAGAACGCGAGTTCACCTTCTTGACGGTAAGGCTTATGTTAGATGTGTTGTCGAAATACTCATATTCATTGCACATTAGTACGTTACAAGTAAGGCACTGGTCAGTGGCATACTATCGTTGGCAGTTCCCAATCTGGAGGGAAAGGTTCAAGGACTCATTGACCGAGTTTGCCAAATAAATTCGCATATCAGGGAAAATCTCCATTGTGGAGAGGTTCAGTAACTTGTTTGCTTCATACGAAACAAGCCAATGGGTGCAGTCTCGTCTCATGAAAATCTCGTACTTGTAGGATTGGATTTGTTTACTCGAGTCTTAGCTGTTTGATTTGTGAGTACCGCCGAGATTGCACTGCCCCAAATAAAGTTTCGTGCCGCCAAAGCAAGAATTACGATCTGCAATCTGTTTCTAGTACCTGTAGTACTTGCAAGAATTTGCAGTACATGTATCGTACTTTCTCTGTTGCTGTTTCAGTTGCCGTCATGTTGCTGAAGAAAGGTTCAGTAGAGAGGTTCTGCAAAACGAAAATTCGAACGAAGTTTCGCCACAGTTCTTGCGAAAGTGTGTACGAATTTTTGCATGAACTTTGCGTTCTGCACATTTTCATAGTTTGTGCGGGCCAATTGCACGTACGCCATGACCCGATCTCACGAAATTTCATTTCGCGTTCCCTGCAAGTTTCGCTTCCACAGTTGCCAAAGTTCGTGCGAAGTTTCGCACTTCATGATGTAGAGCGAAAGTTTGTACGCATTTTCGTTTTGCAGAACCTCTCTAGTGACTCTTTCGTTTCATATACGAGACGAGTCAATGAGTCGGTGTGGCTTAGAATCTTTCGCTGTAGAAGAAATCTATTCGTGTGTCTATTGGAGAAATAATTGTATTCACTGGTTATAAATAAGTTAAGACAAACTCACAGCATAAATACCATTGGTCCCTTGGTGTTCGTCCTAAAGAGGTTCAACTGGATATCATTCATTCTCACCAAAAGATGTGTAAGCTTTTATTATCATGGAGTGCCTTGTTTATCTCTCAGTATCAGTACCTCCAACCATAGCCTTGACCCTTTTATCCTCAGGATCAGTGTAGTTGTTGGAACGAGGTGTCGGACTCAACAATGTATTTGTTTACATTTTAATACATGTTTACTGTTCCTCCTTTGGTGTGTTGTTTCAGAAAATCGGGGACTAACAGTTTGAAGTCATTGAACTACTTCCAAAAGTTGTATTGACATCAACAGGATAACGATTTCAGTGCAATATGATGCTGGATGACCTTATCACGATAACCCATGATTATAAACCATTATAAACACAGAATCAACAAAAACATCTGCGACACGCACCTGGCACATGGCTACATTTCTCAAATAAATCTGATAGAGGGTGGGGAAATCTGAAATATCTGAAAGGCAAGACAAATTTATGACAGAGTCATGAAATTCTGCAACAGCAACATGCACAGAATGACCTGCGTCTAAGAAAGTATAACCACCACTACTCACATGTTCCCCACAGAAGAACATGCATTATGCTAGTGCCATTTTCTGCAAGAAAAGGCTTGGATATCAATGCGTATAATACGGTATTGATATGATCAAGAGTACATAAACCTCTTGATATGATGTGAAGGCCATCATTTACATATTGATATACTGTACATGTAGGGCATTCCATTGATTGGTGACAGAAAAAACAAAAGAAATTATAGCAATAAAAACTGCTTTATGGCAGTTTTCTAAAAAAAGTTATTGTGTTCTAGTCCAGTGCATGGACCCCGTCTAAAAAGTAAGAAATTACCGAAATGTGATAGCTGAAAATTAAAATTTCACACAAAACCTCACAATAATCACACACAGAATTAAAAGCTACATGTAGAAGACCTTTTCCCCTCGTGATCCTTTCTCCTATGCATGCATGTTGCCAATTGTTGGTGCAGTACAAGTTAAAGTTGAAAGCAGCATTTCAAGTGTTGTGATTATTGTGAGGTTTTGTGTGACATTTTAATTTTCAGCTATCACATTTCGGTAATTTCTTACTTTTTAGACGGGGTCCATGGACTAGAACACAATAACTTTTTTTAGAAAACTGCCATAAAGCAGTTTTTATTGCTATAATTGAATTTTGAATAGGGCTGTCCCACAGCATGCAATAGAAATAAACAGTGAGGAAAACTACACGTGTTACAGTATATGCTACATAATGAACAATAAACACAGGGCTGGGTTGTTCAAAATAAAACAATTAGTTTTAATTGTCCAGGGATATACCACTACAGTCAAATTTAAACATTTTCACGTGCAAGCGATATTGCTGCTGAAATTTAGAAAGTGAATCTTGGGATGTCAGCCTTGGTGGAAGGCAGTTCCACAGCCTTCCGATTTTATGCATAAAGAGAGAGGAAGAGATGCGGCCATGAGAATTGAAAATCAGTTTGTTTGGTCGGCGTGCGCTAGAAAAGATAATAGGGAGGTTTCGCTCTACGGAATTACGTATGAAAATAACGTATGAACTGCACGGAATTTTCATACGTAAAAATCAGAGCTGTTGGGTTTCGCTCTACGTGATTTCTCCACGACTGCTAAACACGCGTTGTTGCTTTGGAGGCGCGTTGGCTGCTTGCGCCCACCGCATGGAAAATGTGAAAAATATTTCAAAAGGTCCTACGGAGGACCCAAACTAGGAAAGAGCTTTCCTACGGAAATCGGTAGAGAGATTTACGTATGAAAGTTGCCCTCGCTCCCCGGCGCGTACGACATA